TTGTTCTGACTTGCTTTTCTGGCATATTATCTGATTCTTTTTTGTTCTTTGTTCATACAAATTTTTGCAGATTAGATCCTGGCCTAACAAAGAGGCTTAGATTCTTAAGTATGAAAAAACAAGTTTAAATATCTACAGCAAAACTTATAATAAAAGAATGACAGATAATGAAGCAAGCATTCCTTTGACTAAAAGAAATTCTGTCCTTCCAATCTTAAGATCATGATACAGTAACCAAAATTTGTAACATTATTTATAAATGAAAAATTTGAAATCTCCCTCTCTCTCTCTCTGTCTCTCTCTCCAGGAGGAACTGCTTGATATCTCAGTGAAGATTCAGTTTGTCCAGGGAGGAAGTGAGTTCAGGGTCTTCCCAGAGTACCATGTTGGACCTCATCCTTCCTTATATCTCTCACTTTTTTTCTTTCTCATGCACAAACACATTCATACACAGATACTCAGACACACAAACATCGTATATGGAACAAAGTAAAATTTTTATTTACCTTATTTTGACCACATATCGTGCCATTATGCACTTGAGTAAAATCATACTCTGAAGATTGTGTTTCATTTCTCAAATATGCTGACAAACATATATGGCCTCCAAGGTAAGTATATTGAACATTAAAAGTTTTTACTGGTACTATCTGTGAATGTGTCCAGTGACAAACTATCTTTCCACAAAGGATATGCCTGGCAATATAAGGCAAAAAAAGGTTGCTCATATGTCTCTTAGGAACACAATATATTAAATCATTAACAATTCAGAACATGAAGATAATTCAAAATGTTATTCAGATCATAACACCAAAGTTATTCAGAACATATGAAGCATGACAAATAAATTTATCTGTATATACTAGGTTCATCTCTCATTTATATTAACTTATTTTTGCGTGCGCACGCACACACACACACACACAAACATGCATTTTAAAAAGTATAGTAGTCTTGAGCACCTGAGTGGCTTAGTCAGTTGGGCGGCCAACTTCCACTCAGGTCATGATCTCATGGTTCATGGGTTCAGGCCCCGCGTCAGGCTCTGTGCTGACACCTCTGAGCCTAGAGCCTGTTTTGGATTCTGTGTCTCCCTCTCACTTCCACCCCCCTCCCCACTCATGATCTATCTCTCTCTCTGTGTAAAAAGTAAATAAACATTAAAAAAAAATTTTTAAGTATAGTAGTCTAAATACACACCGAAAATTGCAACCATGTTTGGCACAGTTTCCAAATTGATCTGCGTGAAAATTCACTTCTTGTGCACATAGATAAGTAGAAACTTTAGCAACTGAAAATATAAATAGTTACAATTACTATCTTAAAAAAACAAAAGTGGTAAATTAATATAGAAACATCTGGACAACAGCAATGCCCAGTAAGTGTCATCTACTATAATTTTTTAGTGTCATCTACTGGCTATACAAGAAGGAGAAACACTAAAAACTACCCACTTGAGAATAGGAAAATTGTGTCAAAGGCAGAAATGATTAAGAAAGCAGTCATTTGCTCTCTTACCTACAATTCTAATATTCTACTCCTCTTTGCGCCAATCACGTGAAATTTGATTAATATACTATTTTTTTTTGTTCTGTACTTATTAGGCCTATTTTGCCTCTTGATATAGTTCAAAGTCATAATGATTAACTATTTTTTTTCAAATTTGGATTTTAAACAAACATTACCCTTTATTATGGCTATAGGATGTTTTACTGACTGTAGAAAAATACAGTTTGAAAAGGAACCCCAGAAAAAAGATACAGCTATTACATTTTCCAAATAATGCTTCACACTGTACATCTGGATCTCGGCATATTCCCTCATAGCAATAGGCAGTATTATTATTACATGGTTCTAAATCAGCAGATTTCACATCAGGTACACAAGCCTCAGATGTTCCATTGCAAAATTCTGGAAAATCACATGGATCTGTCATTTTCCTACATAAACGTCCTCTTTCAGCTATCTATGAGACAAAGAAAAACAAATATATTTTTAAAGTAGTAAACCAAAAAATGTAAAAAAAATTAAACAAGAACAGTGTATTTCTATCATTTCCATTATTATTGCATTTTAACTACTTAAAGTCAAATTACGAATTTACTTGAAACCGCGAGTGAAATAGATTGGAAAAAACCTAAATGTTCATCAATGAATGAATAGATTAATAAACTGTGGTATATTCATGCAATGGAATATTTTCAGCCATATAAAGGAACACTGATACATAGGCTACAAGATGAATGAATATTCAACACTATGTTAAGTGAAGAAATCCAGACACAAAAGGTCACATATTCTATGGTTCGTATGAAATAACCAGAATAGGTTACTCCAGACAGAACACAAATTGGTGCTGTCCAATTGGTGTTGTCCAGCCAGGACTGAGGGGAAGGAAGAAAGGAGAGCAAGTGCTTATTAATGCTCCAGGAGTCTCCTGTTTGATTGAGGAACTTGTTTTGGAACTAGATAGAGGTGGCAGTTGCATAACACTGAAAGTACTAAATATCACTAAATTGTTCACCTGCAAATGGTAAGTTTTATGGCAAGTTTTTCTTCACCTAATCCTTTTAAAGGCTCTACCAAATGTAAGAATTGTCCCCATTTTAAAGAACTGCCCTTTGGGTTGTAGAGAAAGGGCAATGGGCTGTGTAGAAAAGCCTTATTTGTTCAATCATGCTGATTTGGAAACAAAGGACAAGGTGAGCGCTCTGGTGAAGGGAAGAGCAACAAGGTTTATTGCTAAGTAGCAGAAACCACGTTTGCATCCTTGAAGACAAGGGACAAGTGGCTTTAATTATTAGCATAAAGAGTGAAAAACACACACAGAACAAAGTAGAATTATATTAGGATAGATTTTACTGACAGACAACCTGGCAAATTTCTAATCAGATTTTGATTGTCGTTGACTCCTGAAAGTGACACAAAAAAGGCAAGATGAAGCAATCCCCAAAAGTCAAATCTTACTGAGTCTCCTTTCAGGTGTGGCTATAAAGGAATGTGAAGGGGAAATTTCCCAAAGGAAGTTAAGGATTCAATTCAGTTCCAGGACCAGCGTTCCCTTGAAAAGATAAAACTTGAATAGTAGACATGCTATATGTTGCTGACTACTCTACATGGACTCCTTTTCTGCTATTCTCAAAATGAGAGCTTTATTGTTATTATTATTATTATTATTATTTGTTTATTCAAACATTGTACATCAACTGTGTGTTGGGTGCCTTATTTTTAATTTTTTGTCATAAGTTGCTTGGTTATGAAGAGCTACATTCAGATATGACCAAGAGAAATTCATAGCACCCAAATAATCTGGAATTGATATTGAATAATAACTGGATGGGCCCTGAGTAGAGACTAAAAACAGTGCAATGGAAGGCATAGCTAAGAAGGCTGAAAAAGATCTAAGTACATCTTCTGAACTTAGAAATCAATTATGTATGAATCAGGTCCATAAAGTTACATATTTGAAGTTGTGCAAAAAAACAAAGCTTAAAAAATGCTAAAAAAATGGACACACAAGAACACAAATTATGAAAGGAAATCATGTAGTATTTTGAAAGCTTACCAGACAAGTTCTTCTATCACAGCATGGTCCACTGCCACACTCTGCATTTCCAATAAGAGTACAACTTACAGGATTACAGCATTTTTTGTGAGCGCATTCCTAAAAGCAAACAGAAAAAAATAATAGGAATTTTCAATAAAATATGTAATTGTATTTATTGTCAAAATACACAAAATATTTCCCTAAGTTAATTACAATCATAGCATGATTTTTACTTCTGTATTTATTTATTTATTTATTTATTTATTTTCAACGTTTATTTATTTTTGGGACAGAGAGAGACAGAGCATGAACGGGGGAGGGGCAGAGAGAGAGGGAGACACAGAATCAGAAACAGGCTCCAGGCTCTGAGCCATCAGCCCAGAGCCCGACGCGGGGCTCGAACTCACGGACCGCGAGATCGTGACCTGGCTGAAGTAGGACGCTTAACCGACTGCGCCACCCAGGCGCCCCTGTATTTATTTTTAACACCACTTCAGTTAAACTTATATTTTCAGCATTGGAAAAACAATGGTAATGAAATCATTCATTCTTCCATGCTCAAGGAATTGACTGTAAAAAACTCAATGCAGTTTCTTTCAATCTTATAGGAATATATAAATGTATGCACTCTAAATTCTTAGATTTTTTTCATTCATTGTATCATTAGTACTTTTCTATCTTACCAAACCTCTTCAAGATATCATCTTTGGAATATTTAATAACTTATGGATGTGACAGAATAGAGGTTCTAAATTATAACAACATTTTATTAACATAAATAATGTTTCAAAGAAAAAAGTTTGTAATTTTTTTACTCACAGACCTTACATTAAATATTAATTCTAGAAATTATTAGATAAGAGAGCACAAAAATATTAATGGCTCTTCATAATATACTTCAATTTCCTTCTTCCTGTAGCATAAAATAATGATATGTCACAAGACTGATAGTAATATTTAAAAATTAGTAAAGTGGATAGTCACAAATCACTATGTGTTTCTACTTGCTTCAATATTAATATTTTTATTATTAGTATACAGAAAATTTTACATACTTGCACACTATTATTTATTTAATATTTCTGTGTCTATATTTATGTTGATGTATTCATGTGTTTATTTCCTTTATTTGTAAGCATTATATTAATGATATTAAGCCCTAGCCACCAACATATATCACTACATTTAAAATTTGTCATGACAACTTACTTTTGTTTGGGTGGGTTTTTTTTGGTAACTTTTTGATATTGTGGTATTGTGAAATGGTCGACTCATAAAATCTAAGAACTATCATCTTTTTTTCTGGTTTTGTTCTTTAAGTTTATGGATAAAACTTTATTCCACCATGATCCCACTAAATATGTGAGTTTATAGTATGTGTGTAAAATGTTTGTGTTATATATATGTATGCATTTCTTTTCACTTTACATTGAGTTTTTTTAGTATAATTCACACATTATATATTAGTTTCAGGTGTACAACTTTGTGCTTTGACAAGTTTATATGTTATTCACGATATCAATGACTATATCCCTTACACTATGCACTTTATTCCTGTGACTTATTCATTCCATAGCCTGTATCTCCCTCTCCCAATTCACCCATTTGCCCAACCATTCCCTTCATACCTCTCTAGGAACCATCAGTTTGTTCTCTGTATTTATAGGTCTGATTCTGCTTTTTGCTTGTTCATTTGGTGGGGTTTTTTTTTTTGTTTGTTTGTTTGTTTTGTTTTAGATTCAACTTATGAGTGCAATAGTATGTTACTTGTCTATCTCAGTCTGTTTTCACTTAAAAATTGTCATCTAGGTACATCCATGTTGTCTCAAATGGCACAATCTCAACCTTTTCTACAGCTGCATTATACCTCATTGTGTGTGTGTGTGTATGTGTGTGTGCATGGTACATATATATATATATACACACACACACATATAAATGTGTGTATATTAATATATATATATTTATTTATTTATATTTATATATACACACACCATGGTATATATACCACTTTTCCTTATCCACTCATCCATTGACGGTAGGTAGCTTCCATGTCTTGGCTATTGTAAATAGTGTTGCAATAAGTGTAGGGGTGGATGTATATTTTTGAAATAGTGTTTTTGCTTTCTTTGGGTAAATATTGGTAGTGGAAATATTGAACCATATGAATTTCTATTTTTCATTTTTTGAGGATCCTCCATACTTCATTCCCTAATGGCTCCACCAACAGTATACAGGGACCCTTTCTCCTCATCCTCTCTAATATTTATTTCTTATCTTTTTGATTGTTACCCATTCTTTCTGGTGTAAGGTGAGATCTCATTGTGATTTTGATTTGCATTTCCCTAATGATTAGTGATGTTGAGCATCTTTTCATGTGTCCATTGGCCATTTGGATGTCTTCTTTGAAAAAAATGTCTATTCAACTTCTCTGCCCATTTTTAAATAATGTTGAGTCATATAAATTCTATATATTTTTTGTATATTAATCCCTTATCAGGCATCTCATTTGCAAATATCTCATCCTAATCAGTAGGTTGCCTTTTTTTTTCTTTTTTTTCTTTTTTAATTTTATTTTCAGTATATTTAACATACAGTGCTATATTAGTTTCAGATTTCATACATCACACAGTGTTCATTATGACAAGTGCACTCCTTAATCCCGTCACCTAATTAACTCATTACCTCAGCTACCTCTCCTCTGGCAAACATCTGTTTCTTCCCTATAATTAAGAGTCTGTTTCTCAGTTTGTGAGGATGTTGAGAAAGGGGAACCCTTTGCACTGTTGGTGGGAATGCAAACAGGTTCAGCCACTCTGGGAAATAGTAAGGAGATTCCTCAAATAGTTAAAAATAGAACTACCCTATGACCCAGCAATTGCACTACTAGGTATTTAACCAAAGAATACAAAAATACTACTGAGTATATATTCCCAAAATACAAAACACTCATTCAAAGGAATGCATGCACCCCAGTGTCAATAGCAGCATTAACTACAATAGCCAAATTATGGAAACAGCCCAAGTGTCCGCTGATTTATACATTGATAAAGAAGATGTGACATGTATGTACAATGGAATGTTATTCAGCCATAAAAAAGAATGAAATCTTGCCAATTGCAATGACATGGATGGATCTAAAGAGTATTATGCTAAGTGAAATAAGTCAGAGAAAGACAAATATATGATTTCACACATATGTGAAAGTTAAGAAACAAATGAGCAAAGGGGAAAAAGAGAGCCAAACAAAGAAACAGACTCTTAACTATAGAGAACAAACTGATAGTTACTAGAAGGGGGATGCATGGGGAGACGTGTTAAACAGGTGATGGGGTTAAGAACTGAACTTGTTTTGATGAGCACCAGGTGCTGTATGGAACTGTTGAATCACTATATTGTATATCTAAAAGTAATATTACACTGTACATTGATTAGAATTTAAACTTTTTTTAAAGTCTATTTTGTCTAAGTAAGTATTGCTACTCTGGGTTTCTTTTGACATCCATTTCCCTGATGAGTGTTTCTCTATCTCCTCACTTTCAATCTGCAGGTGTCTTTAAGTCTGAAATGAGTCTTTTGCTTCGAGTCCATTCACATTCCAAGTAACTTTTGATAGATATTTATTGCCATTTTATTATCTGATTTGTGATTTTTTGATAGCTTTTCTCTGATCCTTTCTTCTCTTTATCTCTTTCATAGTTTTTTGGTTTTCTTTAGTGATACACCTGAATACCTTATTCTATTTTTTGCAGAATTTCTATTACTGTTTTTTTTTTTATTTGTGGTTACTACAAGGTTTATATATAACAACTTCTACATATAGCAGTCTATATTAAATTGATGGTAGCTTAATTTTGATCTCATTCATTACTCCTCTCCCTTTCACACTTCAGATATTAGGCATCATATTTTATATCCTTTTATGAAAACCTTGGCTACTTTTTACAGAAACACATATTTTTACCTTTATATTTTTTTATATTTTTTATATTTTTTACTTTTCATATTATCACTTATGGTCTTTGCACTCAAAGGGCCCCCTTTAATATCTCTTGTAGAGCTAGTTTAGTAGCTATGAAATCCTTTAGTTTTTCTTTGTCAGAGAAACTCTTTATCTCTTCTATTCTGAATGATAGCCTTGCTAGGTAGAACATCTTGGATACAGATTTTTCCCTCAGCACTCTGAATACATCATGCCAGTCCCTTACGGCCTACAAAAATTTCTGCTGAAGTTAACCTCATAGCCTTGTGGGGTTTCCATTATATGTAAATGTTTTCTTTTCATTTACAACCTTTAAAATTCTTTATCACTTATTTTTTTTCCCATTTTAATTACTATGTGCCTTGGTGTGGGCCTCTTTGGGTTGAATTTGCTGGGGGATTTCTGTGCCTCCTGAATTTGGATCTCTATCTCTCTCCCCAGATTTGGGAAGTTTTCAACTATTATTTTATCAAATACATTTTCAGCCCCCATTCCCTCTCCTCCCCTCTGGGATCCCTAATGTGAATGTGATTATGCTTAATGGAGTCACTGAGTTCTCTAATTATATTTTCATAATGCAGTATTTGTCTCTCCCTTGTTCAGTTTGATTGCTTTCCATTACTCTATCCTCCAGATCACTGATACATTCCTCTGCTTCCTGTAGCCTAATATTTATTACATCTATTATATTTTTAATTTCATTAATTCAGTTATTCATCTCTGATATGTTATTTTGTATCTATTTGTCAAGAGTCTCACTGATGTCCTCCATGTTTTTCTCAAGTCAGGTGAGTATCATTACTTTAAATTCTCCATCAGGCATATTATTTATCTCTGTTTCCCTTCTTGTGGCCTACTATTTAATTCATCCACTGCTTTTTACAATTTTTTTTTCACATTTATTTATTGTTGAGAGACAGAGACAGAGCATGAACAGAGGAGGGACAGAGAGAGGGGAAGACACAAAATCCGAAGCAGTCTTCAGGCTCTGAGCTGTCAGCAAAGAGCCTGATGCTGGGCCCAAACCCATGAACCACGAGATCATGACCTAAACCAAGGTTGGACACTTAACTGACTGAGCCACCCAGGTTCCCCTCCATTGCTTTTTAAATTTCATTTATTGAGTTCTTCATCT